AGGAAAAAATAGAACAAGGTCCATTTGTGCCCAAACATGGGATGGATGAATGGTTCTGTTCTGTGAATGCTGACTGGTGTAACATGTGGCAGGTAGCACTCATTTTGTAAGACATTATGATGAGATCTTTAGAAAACCAGACTGTGGCTGGGCGCGGTGGCTCATGCTTGTAATCCCAGCACTTTGGGAGGCCAAGGTGGGAGGATCACTTGAAGTCAGGAGGTCAAGACCAGTCTGGGCAACATGGTGAAACCCCGCCTCTTCTAAAAATACAAAAACTAGCTGGGCACAGTGACACCTGTAATCCAGGTAGGTGGAGGCTGCAGTGAACCAAGATCGGCCACCGCATGCCAGCCTGGGTGACAGAGCAAGACTCCTTCTCAAAAAAAAGGAAAGAAAAAAAACCAGACTGCAAGCTCCTTGGGGGAGCTTTTGCGTCCCACTATTTCCCAAGATCCAAACCCAATGCCTGACACACATTAGGTGCTCAATACTTGATGAATAAATCAAAAAGTGACTTAGATGTTATGAGAAGTGGGAAAATTCTTCTTCAAAGTTTATGTCTTAGACTGTATTATAAGGAGTTACAATCCCACTCTAGGGCCGTTACCCGCTATGAGCATAAACATATACCCATGTATATGCATCTCTACATCAGCTACGTCTTAAATCAGCCACCTTGACTTGCTCCGGCGTGTCTGAACAGTACTGGGCAAGCTCCCAACCCTGCTGCCTGCCATTCCTTATCCGGAAACCCTCCTGACCTTCTCCTGACTAGCTTCCTCTTCTTCCCTGTCTTCTTTCCTCCTTATCTATCCAGGAGATTTCCAAGTTTTTAGTCAATCGGGTCAAGCATAGAATGTGAGGTCCCGTTCTAGCCAATGGAAACTAGACACAGCTGTAGGACGATTGCGTCAGGTTGTGAAAGTTATAAATGTCCCTGTCTCTTATTCAGGTGTGTGCTGTCGTGGCAGGACTGCCAGCAAGTTGCATCCTTTCTGCAGAAAGTAGACTAGCCTTGTTGAATGATCCATTGTCTGTGTGAATTCTTCCCGACGTTATAAACCCATTTCCAGCAGATGTAAAAGTAAGATCTTTGTTGTTGATTCAATATAGCTTCCTCATCTCATGGGTTCAGTTATAGATTCTCTGTCACCACCCAAGGTCTCCAAGGAGATATAACCCTTAAAACCAGAAAATAAAAGAAGGCGGGTTACTCTTCGTCAGTTTCTGGAAGCACTCCACTAACCCATCACTGGTGGAAGTGGAGGGATCTTGCAATGTGGGGCCGTCGGGGTGAGCGACTCCAGGTGAAGTCGGGCTATGTTTGCTGTTCCAGCTGTGAACCTGTCACTGATGGAAGTAGAGGGATCTTGCGATGTGGGGCCGTCAGGGTGAGCAACTCCAGGTGAAGTTGGGCTGTGTTTGCTGTTCCAGCTGTGAACCTGTCACTGATGGAAGTAGAGGGATCTCGCGATGTGGGGCCGTCAGGGTGAGCAACTCCAGGTGAAGTCGGGCTGTGTTTGCTGTTCCAGCTGTGAACCTGTCACTGATGGAAGTAGAGGGATCTCGCGATGTGGGGCCGTCAGGGTGAGCAACTCCAGGTGAAGTCGGGCTGTGTTTGCTGTTCCAGCTGTGCAACATGGACACGCTTCGGAGTGTCAGAGTGAAGAGAGGAAAACGCTGTCCCAATAGAGAACCTCAGTCCAGCGGGCCGGGCTTTGCCTTTGGGTTAGAATCTTCGACCCACAGGCAGAATGAGCCCTGGGTGGGTCAGAAAGACTTTAAATTCCCTTTGTCAGGGGTCATGGGTCTTTTAAATTCCTTTCCATCTGACTTGACTCACCAAAGCCACTGCTGTGCAGCTACTTGGAAGGGAGAGGTCACCAGTTTTAGGATCATGTCCACCTACAGCCAGTTACTGGAACCCCCTTCTGGGAAGGGGATCGCCATCTGGAAACTGACATGGATGACTCTTTGACCTTCAAAGAAGGGCCCCAAATTTGTGGCCTCCCAGCAGAGGCAGCCAGCAGGCACTGCCCAACTCCACATTTTGACAGGATCAAAGGCAGTGATAGGGGACAGGGGCCCCTCAGGGGCACTCCCTTTCTGACATCTTAGAGATGATTAACTGTTGGGACAAGTGAAGGAGTCAAAAGCTTCCTGGGACTCAAAGAGTGAAAACTCCGCTTAGATTGAAATGAAAAAAAGCAGAACTGTCATTAATCAGGCGGGGAAGAGAGGCACAGAGGAGCCGGCTGCAGAGTTAGCAGAACAAACCACTTCTCTCAAGGTCATGCAGTGGTTGGAAAAGCCAGAGACACTCTTTGAGGGATCAACAGCTTTCTTACCAATGACACTGCAGACTTCCTTTTATTTCCATTTGTGGGGTGGGGGAGGGGGGTAGCCCACACCCAGTTGTTGCCTGGCCAAGTTGACAGGAAGCATCAGGAAGCTGCCGCCTTCCGTCTTCTCTCACTTTTCAGAGAGTCAGAAAGGCAGCCAGGCAGCGCTGGAGAGCCAGGTTCACTTGGTATAAACCAATGGGAAGAAACTTGGTGTAAACTTTTAACACCTACAATGATAGCAGATGGTAGCACATTGATGTGGCCAGGATTGCCGGAGGCTCCTGAGGCCACCTTGCCTTCCCTGTGCTGCTGGGCAGGGGGCTCTGCAGGTGGAAGGAGTGTCCCCAGCCCACTGATGGTAGGTTAATACACAGCAATGACAGCAGAACGACAGTGCTGGCCCACCACCCACAACATCATTCTGAGGCCTTCAGAATCAGGGGAGCTCCTAGGCAAAGCAGGGAAGAAGAAGGGAGAAAGAAGAGAAGAAGGAAAGATGGTTTGGTTTCACAATATGAAAATGCAATGTGCAAAAAGTACTTTATCAATAAGGAGGAGGACATTCAAAGTCAGGCCTCCCCTAGCAGGTCGCCTGGAAGTCACACCCCTGGAGACAGTTTCCAGTGCTGGTAGAGAAGTGAATCTGTCTGCTAGCATCTGGGATTAGAAGGGCACACACAGGAAGCACACAAAGCCAGCAGCTCGCATACCTCTCAGGGTGGAGATTCAGAAACAACGGCCTCTAGCACGTCTCATTTTATGGCTCATGTGCCAAAGGCCGCTCTGTTCCACTAGCTCGTCTTGGTAGGTTTTCAGACCTACCTGGGGATACCTTGGTCCATAAGCCCATGAACAGATTCACAACTGAGGCACCGTGACCAGAGGAGGGCCAAAGCAGAAGTGCCCGGTCCAGATGGACCACCTGTCCGCCTCCTTGCCTCAAGGCTCTGGCTGGGCGGAAAATCTGCTTCCTCTCAGGAGAGCGGAGTTGAAGACTCCCGTTCTCCATGTTTGCCAATTTCAGACACATTCTAGTAATTCCATGTCTTGCTGTGCAGTTTCTCCAGCGACTCCGGGCTCCCAGCCTTCTTGCATGCACAGCCCTTGCCACCGCTGTTCCTGACGAGTTACCAGGCCCTGATCCCACCTTCCAAACAGGAGCAGACCAACTTCTGCCAGGCCTCCTGGCCACTGCCAAACCCCTTCCCGAGTAGCAAATCCTGAAGTATGTTACAAATGCTTATATTCCAGCAAGAACCAGACATCAGTTTCACCACTACGTGCGGTAGTGACATAAGAGATGATGTAGAGCTTACTCGCCTTTCGTGGGCCTTCTACAAAGACGACGGCAAACACCCATCAAATGTGGGGTGTGCTGGGGGTAGTGAAAGGGAAGTCAACAACTTCCCAAGAACAAAATCAAAAATTCTAAACCCTTTATTAGAAAACCATGGGAATCTTGGTCAACTCTATTCCACCCCCTTTATTTCAAATGTAGCTGAGTGTTTTGAAGTTACCTGTCCAAGTAATAAACCAATGGGAAGAAAGATCAAGACACCCTTGCCCACCTCCCAACTCTCCCTCCTTCCACAGATACAAATTCCAGTTTCCTTGCTAAATCTGATGTATTTTAAGGAACTTCTAAAGCACTTTCATACAGAGCATCTCCTTCTGCATTTCGAAGCAGCCATTGTGATCAGCTCTGTCATCTGGATTCAGAGAGTTTCTGTGGCTCACACAAGGTGCCACAGCCTGTAGCAGGGAGGCAGGATGTATGATTTTGCATCCTGGCTCCAAATTCTCATCCCTTCTGGCCACGACGTGGCCTTGCCCACTAAAAGAAGATGTGTAGCTGTGCATCCAACAGCATTTACAACCATAAGCGTCATAGTCCAGGAATCCTCAGTGGCAGGCTCCAGCTCATAGAGCCTGTTCACGGCAGCACCGAATTTGGAAGCAAGGTGCCAGGGCTGGGGGTGCAGGGTAGGGGTGGCGTCCGCTGTGTTTCATTTCTCTGGCCCTTTCCAGGACAGTTAGTTCATCAGCAGTCATTCCCACTCTCTGCCCCCGCACTTTTTTTTTTAACCCTGACATTAATAGACTCTCCTAATCCTGTTTTGTTTTGAAACCCACAATGTCAGGGAGGGAAGATAAAACCAGCCGGTCTTGGCCACCTTTCCCTGGAGGTTCAATGGCTCATCCTGCTTAGTGGAAAGGCAATACAATTCAACCCTTCACCCCACTTCTTCTAAGTTTCTTCCATCTTTTTACCTTAAGGAAGCTGGCTCCATCCTCCCTTCCTCCTCCAGCCTGCGAAGCCAGCCTGCCTTGGCCTTTCCTGCCTACAAATCTAGGCAAAAATAAGAGAGAGCAACCCTCTAAAAACCGTCCACCGAGACTACACTACTTTCCAGTTGTTATTCATGAGGTTGGCTGCTGCCCGTAGACTCCAATTCTGTGCTCGGGGCCTCGGTTGGTGTGTCCTGCTGTTAGCCGGGCTGTCTTTACTGCTTGCTTTGTCTCTATTTGCCTTTTATATCAGCGTGGCCTTTTGCATAAGAGCTTTACCACGCCAGGGCTGCTAACTGCTCTGAACTTACTGGATAACACATCAAGCTCTTAACGAATATTTAATAAGAGACAAAACCAGACCTGTGCTAGACGCAAACGAACGCAGCGATGGAAGGGCTCCGCCTCTGAAAGAAACGGTTTTTTCCTTGGAAAATCAGCTGCAAATGATGAATGCTGATGACTGTCTAAGCTCAGAGTGATTTATACGCCAGAAGACACAATTACGGCCATGAACAGTTTTCATCCTAACTCAGAGGGAAGCACAGACGCTGCAGAGCAATCTCCTAGTCAAGCTGCCGAACTGCCCACGAACTGTCTCTTTCTCTGGCTGATCAGTGGCCCAGCAAAGCTTCCTAAGCACTCTTTTTACACGGCCTTGGTTATTGTGAAATAATTGATGGGGAAGTCTGTCAATTATCTGGAGCAAGGAAAAAGAAGCAGAAAAAGAGAACAGCTCTGTTAACACCTATAGGGATATCAGAAACAGAGAATCCTGGTGAGGATTCTCTCAAACCTGGGGACAGTTGCATTGACTTATTACCATGAGGTGCCCATGAGCCACCCAGGATCATCACCCTCCCTTTCTACTGTATTCTCTTTTTCCGGCAGCCAGGACTGCTCCTCTGGAGGGAGAAATCTTCCCTTCTTGCTTCAGATTGCTTAAAAATGCTTCTACTACTGTTTGGCCCAAAACCCTAGGAAGCCTTCCTCCGGGGAAGTAGGCACAGAGCATCACTGGGTATACCTGGATGGCGGAGCTTCTAAGTCTTTCAGTGAAATTAGGCTGCCTACCCTTCATTGCACCCGGCACTGAGATGCCAGTTGTCTTAGATGGTTAATTCTTGCGTTTCATTTGAAGTTTGTTCTAAATAATTTAATTAACTTCTGATGGATAAAAATATGCCTTGCTTTCCGAATTTGTTGCCTATCTTAATTTTTACCAGAAACAAATAGGCTGACACATCCTGGGGAAAATATCTCCCCAATCCTGCCATAAACTTAGTCTTTACCATCAGTCAAAAGCAAAATATAGTACTCCTGGGGACTCCAATTCCAAATCTTACTTCTTACCTCTTAACTCCAAATGAGAAACCCAATTTTTTTTTTTTTTTTGAGACGGAGTTTCGCTCTTGTTACACAGGCTGGAGTGCAATGGCGCGATCTTGGCTCACCGCGACCTCCGCCTCCTGGGTTCAGGCAATTCTCCTGCCTCAGCCTCCTGAGTAGCTGGGATTACAGGCACGCACCACCATGCCCAGCTAATTTTTTTGTATTTTTAGTAGAGACGGGGTTTCACCATGTTGACCAGGATGGTCTCGATCTCTTGACCTCATGATCCACCCACCTCCGCCTCCCAAAGTGCTGGGATTACAGGCTTGAGCCACTGCGCCTGGCCTGAGAAACCCAATTCTTAACTATCCACTTGAACAGGATTTCACATTGCAAACTGACAGATTTTGGAATCTCCATGTGTGTATGCAAGTCATGTAAATGCAGGTTTCAATGAAAAGCATAACAGTATTGCTTTGTTAAATTTAAATTCTGCTTAAATAGAGACCAACTGCTAAAAGGTAAAAAGACACTTAAAATTATGAACACCTTTTAAATCGCAGTCAACTCTCTCCTTTCCCTTGATTACCAAGCTTTCTCTCTTCAAACAGCTACATTCCTGTCTAAATCGTCTTTTCGATTTTCTCTACCACTGTAGAAGCTTACATGCCAGGACACCGATGTCGAGTGAGGTCTGTGAAAAGGAAAAGTACTGTATCGTACTGGATTGAACTGGTGGTTGTTCCCAACAGGCCATAGACAAGCAGATTAAAGCCGCCGCTTTACAATTGTAACTCAACCTTGGGACCTCATGGACACTTTCAAGAGGTACTTCTATAAAGCACTGGAACAGAACACTTGGAAGGTCTTGCACTCAAACCACATCAGAAACAGTATCAGGCATATCTACAAGCTTGGGGTTGGCGAAGACAGTCATAAATAAGGATATGTCTATGACTTTTTTTCCTTACAAGTTAGCATTCTGAAGTTTAACAAACGAAATTGGATCAGTGGTCACCCATTTGGATAATTATACACGGCTTGAATTGTTTTGATTCAACTACAAATTTGATCATTTTATTTAAAGGGTATCAAAAATATATCAATAATTTTGGACTCTTGGCATAATCTTAGATAGCTGATATTTTTAATAGCCTAGTATTTAAAAAGCTCATATTTTGAAATATATTCATACCCATATATATCACACTAATCTATCAACCAATATCACACCACGTTCCCTACTTTTAAGAATAGGTATAGGCTTAAGGCCAATAGTATCAACTACAAAATGGATTTCTAGATGTCCCAATATGGTCATTCATCTTTTCAATTGTTGAAACTCAGGCCAGTCGAATTAGTCATGTTTGAAATAGACTAGTGTAATCAAACATACGTGGACACACATATACACACACATAAACACGCACGCACACACACACACACACACACAGTGTACTTCAAAGTGGAGAAACAGGAGGAGGGTGGATTTTATCAATGTCAATTTTCTGGTTGGAATACTATATTCCAGTTGCGCAAGATGCTACCATTGGGAGAAACTGGCCAAGGAGCATACAGGATGTCTCAGTATTATTTCTTCCAATTTCATGTGAATCTGTTATCTCAAAATAAAAAGTTAAAAAAGGCAAGGACGAAAACAATAGAGTATACTGCCACTTAGTTTTTAAAAAAAATATTATGTATATGTACGTATCTATTTATCTCGACATATACACAGAAAGACACACATGCATTCACATGTGTAAGAGCTATATGCATGCTATTTCTGTAAGGATAACTAAGAAATCATTAATGCTGATTGCTTCTGAGGAGGAGAGCTAAAGAAACTGATAGAATGCGTGTTTACTTTTCACAGTATACCTGTCTGTGGTGGTTGAATTTTGAGCTACTGGCATTACTCATTCAAAAAATAATTTTGGGAGCTGAGAACAAAATAGCCATTTCAAACATAAACAAAAACAAAACAAAAAAACAGCTCAGGGCACGATGAAGGCCTAGGGAACCCACACCAAGAGCCGCAATTCTGAGACACATCCACAATGAAGATAAAAGTGTAGAATCGTAAGTATCTTACGGCTTGAGATGCAATAGGACAGTCTGCAGTTGATCTTCCTGAAGAGCTGCTTGTTAATTGGCCAGAGAAGGAGAGTGAAGAGCTGCATGGTGTTGATGATCAGCCCCGAGGCGATGAAGACGTAGCAGAAGACCAGGTGGCACAGGAACTGAGACTTCAGCAGTCCCACGAGGTCCATGATGTGTGGATGCTTTTATTCAAAAATAAATACCCACAGCAAAACACTTCCAGAAGGAAGGAAGATCCAGGGCTCAGGAAGGCGTCTAAAACACAAACAAATAGGACACGTTAGCAAAAATGTGATGTGCTTCGAGAGTCAGAAACAAGTGCTCTTAAAAGAAAAATAGACACTTAAGGTTAAACTCATTGTGCGTTAGCTGATTTATCTCTAGTTTGCGAGCATTGATATAGCGCTTACTTCCTGTCCAGCACAGTCTAAACCCTTTAACCATAATCCTTCCTTTCATTCTCCCATCACCCTCTGACGTTGGTACAGAGTAGGAAACTGAGGCCTGGAAGGCGGAGCCCCTCAGTCAGCGTTCACGGAATCCCAGTTGAGCAGTAGCTGAGCCAGCCACAGAGCCCTGGGTCCCACAAGTGACCGCTGCCCACAGGACAGGCTGCAAATCTGGCCTCCCCTCCTGCTGCCATCGCAGCGTGAGCCCCATTCTCTTACACCCAGCCCCATTCCATCTCCCTCTTGTCATTCTCCTCCTCCGGATCCCAGCTCACCCTTCACTTCCAGCAGGACTGCCCTGAAGTCAAGCCTGCCCTAGACAAGGATGAGGACTTACCCAGAGTGGGTGCCAGCCCTCAAGCACCTGGAACTAGTGAGGCATTTACTTGAAAACCACCACTGTCTCTGCAGCACAGGAAAGCCATCATTGGCACAGGGTGGGAGCTTAATTTTTTTTTTTTTTAGACAGAGTCTTGCTCTATCAACCAGGCTGGATGGAGTACAGTGGCACTATCTCGGCTCACTGTAACCTTCCACCTACCAGGTTCAAGTGGTCCTCCTGCCTCAGCCTTCCAGTAGCTGGGACTACAGGTGTGCACTATCATGCCCAGCTAATTTTTGTATTTTTAGTAGAGGTGGGGTTCCACCATGTTGGTCAGGCTGGTCTTGAACTCCTGACCTTGTGATCCACCCACCTCAGCCTCATAAAGTGCTGGGATTACAGGCGTGAGCCACAGCACCTGGCTGAAAGCTTAATTTCTAAAAAATATTTGTAGAATGATTTAATGAAAGTAGATGAAGGCTCCACTTTGAGGATATCAGTAAATACAAATAACTATGAAGATAAGAAAACTACCCCCGCTACACCCTGGTCTCAGATACACGCACACACATACACACAGCACACACCCTTAAGAGTTCTTAAATGAAAAAGAAACTCGACACACACAGTTAGACTCACAGTCCTGTAATCTAGCTCCACCTCAAAACAGAACTGCAGTGACTTCACAGTTTGGGAAATAAACAGTTTCCTTTGAGGAAAAGGGCAGGAGTTTCAAATACTCTGGTGGAAAGGAAAGCTCAGAGCAGCAGACTCGCTTTTTCTGGAAGCAGAAGAGCCTTGCAGGCTACCCCAGGAAGACGTCTAATGCTAAGAAAAACTTTGCAACAACAATAGTGGAGAGATCCTAACATTGTTACAATCTTTATTAATAATGAGTCATCTGTACACAGACGGTTCCTGACTTAGGATTCCACTGAAAATTTCCAGCTTTATGATGGTGTAAAAGCAATATCCATTCAGAGAAATTTTAATTCAAGCCCGTGCAACTCTTCTGTTTTTCATTTTCAGTAAAGTATTCAGTAATTTCCATGGGCTATTCAGCACTTTATTATAAAATCGGCTTTGTGTAAAATGTAAATGTTCGGAACACGTTTAAGGCAGGCTAGGCTAAGCGATGATGTTCCCTAGGTTAGGTGTAGTCAATGCTTCTTTGACCTACAATATTTTCAATCTACATTGGGTTTATGGGGATGTAATCCCATCATAAGTTGAGGGGCATCTGTAAGAGTTTCACACATATGATCTCATTTTAAGGCTCCTATGAATCCCACAAGATGAGCATTCATATCATCCCATTTTTCAGAATAAGAAACTGAGGCAGCCAGGCGCAGTGGCTCACGCCTCTAATTCCAGCACTTTGGGAAGCCACGGCGGGCAGATCACAAAGTCAGGAGTTCAAGAACAGCCTGGCTAACACGGTGAAACCCTGTCTCTACTAAAAAAACAAAATTTAGCCAGGCGTAGTGGCTCACACGTGTAACCCCAGCTACTCAGGAGGCTGAGGCAGAAGAATCACTTGAACCCAGGAGGCGGAGGTTGCAGTGAGTCAAGATTGTGCCATTGCACTCCAGCCCAGGCAGCAGAGCGAGACTCTCTCTCAAAAGAAAAAAAAAAAAAAAAAAGATGGGCCACTTGTGTAAGGTCGCCACAATCGGTAACTGATCTTGGGGCTCAGTTTAACTCAGCTCTTTCTCCTGCACGTGTCAGGGGTGTTTTGCTCCTGAGATGTGAGGTGGTCGTTCTCTTGGGCTCAGAACTCTCTTTTGCAGAGCAGCCCAGAAATTAACCCATGGGCAAAAGACAGCACAGCTTTTAGTGCAGTCACTCCTGGGTCATGCAGGTTGGCTCTGAGGACAGTTTCAGGCACAAGGAGAGTCACAGGGAGGCATGTTTCCACTTGCTGGGACTATCTGGAAGATGGGCTGCATTCCTACAAGATTCCTATACATTTCTGATAGGAGGGAAACAGGAAGAACCTTTTGGCCTGATTTCTCTGAAATCTCAGCTCCACTGCGACATACCCTTCTCTAGGCTCTGGAAGCTCCACTCTCTGAAACAAATCCAGGCCCTGCGGGGTCGGAATCATCACATCTCTGGCTTTTCCCAGACGGCATTTCCACAGACATTTCCAGGCTGGAAAGCTCCTCACTGAGTTTCAGCACTCCCAGGTTCCCACTGAGGAACAGGCATTAAGTTGGCAGCCCAGCTCAGTGCACTTGACTCTGGGAGCCACATAAATCGGAGGGGTTTGCATGGGTTTGCAGCTTGGCAGCAGTTACAGTTTGATGTTGAATATTCATGCAATTTGCTCATTGTCCCCGGATTAGCCACTAATAGTGTCCAGACAATCTGGCCAGACCAAGCTCGATTCTTCACTAGGTTTCTGGGGTCTAGCATTTGTAAATTACCTGACAAATCCTTTGCTGTGCCAAGTTTACACTAAGAAAAGGAAGCCAGCCGACATCGGAAATGCAAGGGATTAAACGCTGCCTTCCTCAGTGTCCAGTTCCCTATTAGGGCCTTAGGAAGAAAAATTAAGCTTTCTTTTTTCCTTAAAAAATTTCAAGGTAAATTGTAATTTTACCATGCCCTCACTAGCAATGCATGAACCAGGGTCTCACACAACAGTAGTGAAGTTTGAGGGGGGATCCCAAGCAGAAGAGTCTTAAGAGAAATCAGACAAGCTTGGTGTGTTTTGGGTCTTATGTTTCAGCTCCACGTTGGTCCTCAAGGTCCATTTCCTAGCCCAGTGCATGGTGGTTGCATCTTGGGAGCTCACCTGGCCAGCTATGCCTCTCTGCTCTATCTCTTGCTGGTTGTACCCTATTTGGGGCACATTAACTGTCTGTACCTCAGTTTTTCCATCAGTAAAAAGGGACAACAGATTCTAATCAAAATCCCAGGGAGGCAATTGCCTTTTGATTTTGTGAAACTCAGGTGGATTCTCAAATTTATATGCAAATGCCAAAACAAGAAAAGTCAAAGCATCCTCTGAAGAACCAGGTGAGAAGTGCTGTGAGTTGTTAAATAATTTAACTGACTTTAGAATTAGGCCTGATTTTTTCTTTTTCTTTTTCTTTTTCTTTTTTTTCTTTGGAGTGGAGTTTCACTCTTTTTGCCCAGGCTGGAGTGCAATGGTGCAATCTTGGCTCACTGGAATCTCTGCCCCCCGGGTTCAAGTGATTCTCCTGCCTCAGCCTCCACCATGCCAGGCTAATTTTTCTATTTTTAGTAGATGGGGTTTCACCATGTTGACCAGGCCAGTCTCGAACTCCTGACCTCAGGTGATCTGCCCACCTCAGCCTCCATTACAGGCATGAGCCACCGCACCTGACCTACGGCTGATTATTAAGAGAAACATGGCCGAATTATAGAGGGGGGTGTCTGGAGGACAAATACGTGACATATGTCTTAAGTTCATTCCAGACAGACGTTTGGGGACCCATCTGAATTAGTCCAGTCTCATCCTGCTATAAAGAAATATCTGAGACTGGACAACGCATGAAGAAAAGAGGTTTCATTGGCTCATGGTTCTGTAGGCTGTACAGGATGCACGGCAGCTTCTGCTTCTGGGAGGCCTCGGGAAGCTTTTACTCATGGCGGAAGGCAAAGGGGGAGCAGACACCTTACATGGCAGGAGGAAGACCAAGAGAGAGAGAAGGCGGAGGTGCCACACACTTTTAAACAACCTGATCTCAAGAGAATTCAATCACTATATAGTACACCAAGGAGGGATGGTGCTAAACCATTCATGAGAACTCTGCCCCTGTGATCCAATCACCTCCCACCGGGTCCCACCTCTAGCACTGAGGATTGCAAATTCAGCATGAGATTTGGGCAGGGACACAGATCCAAACCTATCAGCATCTTTCCCATTTTGAATAAAAGAGCGCCTTCTCTTCTAATGCGGCGATTAGCCAATTTCATGTCATGCTGAGGAAAGATGGCATAAATATCTGGCCAGTGATAAAAATAGCTGTAGAGGAACATTTTAAAAATACTTTGCCTATTTCCCTTTTAGCTTTGCAAGTACCTAGAATGTTGTGGAAAGAATCTTTCCAGCAAATCCACTTCAGTAGTTTATTATATGAGGCTGTTTCTGAGCATATCAGAGCAGTACTTACAGAGTTTTTAAATCAGAGAACTAGGAAAGTGCTGAGGCGCCATATTTCTGTGAAAACAATGTTTCTTACTATCAAGGCCAAAAATGATGAACTCACGTGTTTGACAAAGCGAAGATGATGTATTGCTTTTTCTGGCTTTTGGTATTTATAAAAGAAAATAGCAGGTGTTTTCCCATCAGTGAGCTCAGAAGCAGCATTTAACCTTTAGCACTTCT